GCGGTGTTACCTCAAAACATGTTTTAGTTGACTTTGATTGTTCTTTCCCTGGTGTACTCAAATATCTAACCATCAATTCAAAAAGATTAAAGAAACATTAAGTCGCCACTTGCACAAAATAATATAAAGCGCGCGCATTTCAGACAATCGATTTTTTTGAAGGACCTACATAAAAAGAAATATAATAATTATGATGGAACGCAAGTAAGCACTATGTTTTGTTATTGAGAAGTTTATTCAATTAGATTAATGGCATATAGTAGAAGTAATATGGTTAACATACTTTAGGTTGTCACGACATTATTGACAAAAGTAAAGTAGGTAAATATATATATATTCATGAAATATATAAATAAATATAAAGTAGGTAAATATATTTAAATATATATTCATGAAAATTCATGGAAATTTAAACAAAGTCAGAAATAGTTATAAGAAAACCAATATTTCGATTTTCCTGCAGCTTCAATCCAACCTTCTCTTATTTTGAACTCATTGGAAAAACTTTCTACGTTTAATCTAGGAGTATAATGGAATTTAAATATCTAAATTATCTAAAACAATAATACACATACATTTTTCTTCAAGCAACAGCAACATACAAATTGACATGAAATTGAAATGGTTGTCTGAAATATGAGTTGGGTTAAAGTTACTCGAAATAAAATGTTTAGTAATAATAATAATAAAATAAAGGAAATCAATTTAACGTGAATGCTTTTCGTTTATTTCGATATTTTAGGGACTTTATTTACAAGAATCATAGTAAGAAATTCAAACATTTCAGTAAAAATTAACTGTCGATAAACATCAGTCATCGTAAATGAACATCAGTATATTTGAGTTCAAATTACAATCCTGTGAAAAAAACTGTATTTCCGAATAATATAAGGTAGTGGAACCAATGATGGACAGTGCACCTATTATGAACATTTTTTAACAATACCCACAAAAATAAGGAAACGCTAATTATTTCTTTGCACTTTCAACATTTTTTATTATTTTAATCAAAATGGAAGACATCAGTGATAACAAATTTAAAATAAAACGGATTTCTTATCAGGACTGCGTCTCAGGTACGTTTTTTATAATCATATTTGAATGTGGTATTTATGAGTGTGGTGAATTCTGTGGTTAGTTTGTGTTTTGGTATTGTTTTAAGCGTTTTAAGCATCTAAACAAAACATAACCGTAAAACAATAACATAACGTCCATTGGAAAATTTTAAGTATTTATTGCTGGATCTCATTTATCTATTTACCCAAACATGGACATTTTTATCCTTAATCGGATTTTATCAATAAAGAGCTTTACTTGTGTTTACCGTCTTTATAAAGCCAGACTTTTAATTTAGTTTAGCGACTCAGAGGGAGAATCGAAGAGATTTTTGCACAAATTGAATTCTAGAACAAAAGAGACGGCACAAATTAGACAACACAAGTCGTTAGAAACGTGTATGTATGTCAAATATAGTGTTAGTGCATGAATAATATTTACAGTTTAATATGATTTACGTGTATGAATTTAAAAAGAATATGATACATTTTTGGGTGAGAAGGGAGGAAGTAGGACGAGGGATAGAGGGAGGGAGGATGTCATATAGGGAACACCGTAATTTAGGGCAGTCAAAAAATATATGGTCCACGTTTCCTTCGTCTAGACCTCATTCACACAATAAGTTATCTTTTATCATAAGTCTAGCCAAATGAATAGGAGTATACGCATGACCTAAGCGAAGAATATTGTTGACGTAGTTTTTTTATCTGCTGTACGGAATTTACAAAACCATGGTGTTGTAGGAATTTGGGGTTGAATGTCCGCATAATATTTGCTCTTTTCTTTTTGGGATATCTCCCAATACTTCGACCAACGATCACGAAGAAGGGATTCTGGGAGTAGGCAAAGGTCGTGGGAGTACATATTGGAGTGTTCAGTTGAACCTATGCGGGAAGCCAATTTGGTACAGGAATTTAACCATCCATTGTTACCAGTCACAAATGGGTCATATGAAACGTCACACCACTCGTTTAAAAATAAGTTTAAATACAATGCAAGATCTCGTTTTTTAAGATTGAATTTGTTAATTTGGCTTAAATAGTTGATCGTTCATGTTTAGGTGCCCATGATTGGAAACCGTCCATGACGGGAATTGGAAATTGGACTGTCCATATAAGGATACTCAAACAGGGTCTACTTTTTCGCGAATAACAATGTTTTCTTTATTAATTGATTTGAGTAAAGCACTTTCAATCGTTGTTTGAAGGCTTTTTAATCAATCAAACCTTTCCTCGAGTCCCACAGAATAACTCATCCGAAATTAAAAGACTAAAACAAAAAATAAATCATAAAACCGTCCATGATTGGTTCTAGTACCTTATTGAACTTCCGAAAGAAATATTAACTTTCTGATGTTGTCCAACACAAAAAAAATGTCACTTACTGTTTATCACTCGGTTGAGTGTATGCGTTATTATTATTATTACTTATAACAGTATTTCAGTATGATGAAATAGTTTAACAAGCACCAAAGCTTATGAAATGTGAGGTCACTTTTAAATTTGTAGTACGTAAATTACGACAAAAGTTACCCATAGATATTCGCCCCATTGGGCACATCATCGCCTAACTCCCTATGTATGGCGATTTATGAACGTGCGTTATTATTAGAAACGTTAAGTACCATAAAATGTGGTGTGTGTAGAGGTTTCAGGGTTATAGCGAATTAGCGACGCTTAGTAGAATAAGTTATCCACGTTATAGTTTTGTGTTTTCAATAGTAAGAGCCGAAAATTCGTTTAAGTTACAACAAAGAAAATCGCCATGACCCCATTTAAAAAGTTGTTCTAAGAAATTCCATAGGGGCTCATGGCCGCTGCTGCAGTCACCGCGTACCTGCGAGGGTGGAACGACGCATACATAAGTTATATTTACAAAAAAAAATATTTCGAGCAAAAAATGTGACTTATTTTGTTCACCAATAGACATTATTTTGTTATTTAGTATATATAGTTGTACAGTGTAATCAATAGTTGAAGATGTATCGAGGGAAAATTAGAAATAGGTCAAACTGTAAGTTTTCCATTTATTTCATTTTGGTAGGTTGGTGATTACACGTCACTTATAATATTTTTTTTATAAATACTTCAACAATTAAGTCTATCAATATAATTGTGTATAATTACGCAGTTGGAAACAAAAATGCGACGTAGATATTGTACAAATTTCTATCTATCAAAGATGAAATCAACGCTAGTCCATTTGTTACATGTCTATTATGAACGGAGTATAGTTGTCGTAAAACATTAACAAGCAGGGTATTGATTAGTTCCGTGACTCAGTAACACGTGGCAACGCAGTGTTGAAAATTAACTTTTCTACATAGGACGTTAATGTCGGTAACACAGTAGGGGCGTTAGGCGTTACGCGCGCGAAATCCGCTATCGTGTTTACGTATTTTGTAAGAATTCGCACGTTGTTGAATGCACACGGGTCTGCGATGAGCTTCGATCTCGCGTGCTTATGGCACCGCGTGTCATATCGTCAAAGTCATACATATCATACAACGAAAACTAACTTTTCACCATTTAATCTCGTTTTTTATTTATTACAAAAAACACGAGTCGATAGTCAACGTTATTTCTTAACTAACTATACATTATATTTTTTGTGTAATGAAATGTAAAATTATAGACATCATTGATCGATATTAAAACTCAAACTCAACTATTTCTTTCATTTGAAAGTAAACGTTTTAACAATAAATTATATGTGTGAAATATTTACACTTAGTACACCTACCCTAAGTAGGTACCTGGGGCCTTGCCATGAACTCTTATTACGATTCAGTTTAGGACATCGTTGAGGAATCGTTGTGGGACAGCGTTACATGAAGTATATAATATCATTATACCGCTTTTTGTCGTTACGAAACTATACCTGACCCCCTAACCGACTATTTGGTTCTGAGTAGATCAGAGTAAAGATAAGTGTTAAACAAACTTAACCTTTATTTAAACTGTGAGCCGTAAAATTCATTTTTATATTTGACTTCCTTATCGCATTGTTAATGAATGAAGTTTTAAGAAACTTCATAAGCTAAATTGACCTATAATTATATGACATGAATACTTTGAACCAAAAAGCTGTAATTCTTTTACACCCTTATGTTAAATGCGAAAGAAGTATCTCAGAACCAAAAGGTCGGCTAGAGGGTCAGATATCTTAGACCGTCAATTGTACAATCAATAACTCATGACGCTTGACACTTTGAGCCTCGGGCCGTTGTAATCGTGAGACTATACAAATCTAGAAAACTCCAACCCTCTTCGGATGTTGCTTGTGCACTAAGTCAGATTCGAATGGGAACTGATAGAACAGTACGTAGTGCGCAAACCCCGTAAGTGTCAATTGTCGTGCTGTTAACCTTGTATACATTTTGCCTACTATACCCAATAACCAAATATCCTGCTCACTAGAAATAATTTGATTCGTTTTCGTGTTCGCGTGTTACTGTAGAAAAAGGGGCAATAAAATTAGAAAATAATTGTCCATTTAGTGGGTTCCATTCCGAGCGTTGTTTGTGGCTATCAGTTACCAATTAGAATGAGCTAAAATAAAATAAAATTACAATTAGCTAGCCATATACAAAAAGACTAAGTGTATAAATTACAACATCGTTGCAAATATGCCACATCTTATTTGGAGACGTTTATGTTTAAGATAATTATAATGGTGGTTATCCAGTTTTCGCGAATGCTTCGAATGTATGAAATGTCAGGCATCCGTGACCATGGGAGACGTAGCTGAAACGTTGGTTTGTTTGGTAAAACAAATACACGCTATTTATATCCGAAAAAATAGTATCATATTCAATATAATGCTTGTTATTGTGAACTTTTTCATAAAAGGATTTCAAAAGTATTCCACAATATAATTACATTGTCCTACTACACCCATGTATAAGGACTTAAGGAGTCTAAACAATTTTTTTGTTTTTGCAGTAGCCTTTCATAGACCGCAGTCTGCAAGCTCAAGGCAGGAGGAGGAGCTGATGCAAAAGAGTTCCAGAGCGTTATCTACGACCTCCGACCCTCTGGAGAAGTTAAGACTTTTGTGTCTCTCGCGTGGAGCTTCAGGCATCATGGGACTAGGCAGGTTAGATATGTTTGTAATTAAGTATTTCTTAAGTGGATAACATAACTGCACGGTCTGATGTTGCGCGCAAATAAGTCACGCGTTTTGGTTAAATCGCGAAACTGCTTACAAAACAATTGTTGGTTAATTTTGTATGAAAAGCTTGTAAACGGTGCGGTGATACAAAGTCTTGAAATAAGTTTTACCCATGTATACCTCACGGAAAATTTGTGCTTACTTTATTGATGACATGTATTCGGTTTGATACAATGCAATGGTTATATCTTAGGGTTTTTCGACGAATGGACGACGACGGCAGCAAGCAACTTAACAAGGAGGAGTTCTTTAATGGTATCAAAGAGACCGGTTTGGAAATTGACGATAAGGTATTTAAAAAAATAATTCATAGCATTATAAGTCCTGTGGTCCTTTTGTTCAGTTTAATTATCGAAAATAAAAAAGTACAAAAATGGCAATGTAAAATTATCTTCTAATAAAGATAATTAGAGTAAAGTTTGCTGTAATGAGTTTTGAAATATTTCAGGACGCTGAAGAGCTATTTGGGAAATTCGATAACGACAACAGTGGCTCAATCAGTCTTGATGAATTCTTGAAACAAATTCGCGTAAGTTATTTTAATAAATTGTGATAAACTTCTTCAATTACCACTACATGCCACTGGACTGTTGTAGACAGTGGTGGTCTTTTTCGTTTTGATCCCCGACCAAACTTTATCTAGTTCATCAGTTACAGTAAAGGTAAGATATTGAGAAGGCCACAGAAATAATTTGATCGATAATTCCAGCCACCGATGTCGGAATCGCGTCGCGCCATTGTCGAGCAAGCTTTCAAAAAGTTGGATAAATCTGGAGATGGTGTTATTACAGTCGACGATATAAAAAACGTGTATTCAGTAAAATCAAATTCCAGGTAAGTTTTCAGTAATATTCAATGGACATGGACATAACCTAGTTTGTATAGAGACATTAAGTGCTATGTGAAAATCTTTGGATTATATCTAGAATACTGTTGTGGGGGGACTACGATTATGCTGATGGAGTACAAAAATGTAAGTAAATTAATTTTCTATGGCGCGATTCAAGTGGAGGGTAAATTGTGCAAAATAATGAAAAATGTTGATTTTCTTCGGCCAAGGGTTGAACAATCAACAACCTTTGAGGATGCCTCGTACAAAGTCAAAACATATTGTGTCGGGCATATTTATCGCATAGTAGCAAATTAATTTACTTATATTTTTATTGACATGGTCTTCCGCAAAGTAACGCCTGAATTTATTAATGACACCTCTAAATTGAAAGTCCCATTCGTAACTAAAATAAAAGATATAAAATTTGTGTTCAGGTATATGAGCGGTGAGGATACAGCGGATGTTATTCTCAACAAGTTTCTTGCTAACTTCGAAACTGAGGGAACAGTCGATGGCAAAGTGAGTAATAAATAGGATTTTCTATGATTTTACCGCTTACGATCAGCGTCAATAAATACAAATCACAATATGCAGATTATTAAATTAATAAAGATTGATCCCGAGGCCTCAGTTATGAACACATGTGTGCGACTAAAAAGGCATTCAAAGCTCGAAACAAATGGTGCCGAAGGAATGATCAATCAAATGAAGGAAATTTACATAATTGCGTCAGATTTAACAGTGAAAGAAAACATTGTGAGAAATCACACATGTCAGTGATGAATTAATTCATAGAAATTCATCGAAGAGAATGACTCGAAGCCATAGTGAGTAAGCTTGGTAGCTTTTTAATGTGACCAACATTCTCTGCTCCGGTAGTGTACATGGAACCCATTTTTTTACTGACTTACTGTGTCCCACTACTGGGCAAAGGTATTCCCCAAAATCCTCCTCTGCTTCCTGTCTTTGGCGATTTCCCACCATCTCCAGCGTCCATCCTCGGGCACCCAAGAATGTGGACGTTCGCCCGCCTCTCGGGTAAGATCCGGCTATCGTGGCCCGCTCAATGCCATTTGAGTCTAGCTGTTTTGTTTCCCACATCAGCAATGCCAGTCATTGAAAGCAGCATTACATTGCCTACTTGGTGAATGCGTTAAAAGCCCAGAATGCTGCGTTCCATCGCCCGCTTGCAAATCTTGAATTTAGACTTCTGCAAGTAGGTCAGCGACCATGTGTGCGCACCGTAGGTTCGGAAGGGTAAGAGTAAGGGTAAGACGCATATATCAATGAGTTGGCGCTTAAATGCCACAGAAAATTCATCCTTCATTGGCGCCTTCAAGGATCAGTAGCTCTTCAACACGTTTACGATACAACGATTCTTGTCTTGTCTGTTTCGAAGCTTGCTAACGGCCCAAGTAAATATATCTCGATTCTGCATTTCATGCTGTGAAACATTATCTGCGTTTTAGACCGATTTGTCTGAAGTCCAACCTCAAAACTTGCCGTGCTCAGTTCTTGGAGCTTATGATGCAATTTCTGTGACGTTGGGTCAAAAAGTTCTTAGTCGGATGACTAAGCGAAGCGAAGCTTAAATTCGTTAGGCGTTTGCCACTGTTGACAATTCCCTTTGTAGCCCAAGATCCTGCTAGGGTTTTAAAAACTTCTTTAAGCACGCTAGTAAACAATAAGTTTGAGAATGGGTCGCTCTGTTTAACATAATTTTGAATATTAAATGATGGGCCGTTCCATATGTAATTTTATGTTTGCGGTACTGTGATTATAAACCAATTCTATGAAATAGCAGCCGCTATATTGCGACAAAAATATGTTTTGTAATTAATAAAAAAAATCCGAGATCACACCAGAACTTTCAATTACAGTGAAAATATCATAATTAAAAAAGTGTAAAGAAATATATAAAGCTTAGAGCCAGTATTAGGTACATATTATATTTATATATTTCAGGTAACATTGGAGGAGTTCATGAACTATTATAGCGGTATCAGCGTGTCGATTGACAACGATTGTTACTTCGACCTAATGATGCGTCAAGCGTACAAGCTGTGAACAATCTTCACACACGCACCATTTATACAGGATACTACGAAATACAGGTGCTTAATGACATCGCCGCGCCGTCTTAAATAGAAAATTTTCGTGATTTTTTATCGTTTGCTGTGTCGTTTTTAAACAACATCTCAAACCTGTAAAAAACGATACGTACTCTTCACCAATGTTAAATACGTTATCAAATAAAATGAAAATTGAATCAAATTTATTGTCATTATACCTTGTCAGAGTTTAGTTTTCGTTGTTTTGAGGTGAATTATTATTTCAGAGGCTACTTAAAAGAAACTTAAATAAGCTTTGGCGTATTTCCTGGAATCCTGTATGTATCTACTAGTACAATGAGCACAAAATATTTCTATTAATTATGTAATATCTGGTTTATTCTCATACGTTGATATACTATTGACTATACAATATAGTTCATTTAAATTACTATTGTGTGGTAATTATGTTGGTTTCAATATAATATTTTATCTGTGTAATTAGTTTTACTAACTTTCCTCGTCGGACACACTAGTAAAAATTATTTTCCTTATATCGTGTCCTAGCCTTCCTTCTGAAATCAAATATACTAAATCTATGGGTACAACAGCATGGAAAGAAAATGTGTGTGTGGACTGAGGGCCCACATGATTTTTGCCATTTGTAATAACTGGAATATTTAATATAAGTAGTAAAGCATTTTGTAAAACGCGTTCTGGAATTTGTAAAGCATATATTAGAAAGCTATACCATCTAAGGTGCGGTCTCTCAGTTCTCACACCAAAGCTTCCACTTCAGGGCAAGTATTTAGTTTGCGGATATTTTATTAACAGAAATTTAGTAAAAACCTCCTTAAACATTTACACAATGAACAAAACGTAATTTGGCAATGATTATATATTATTACACTGTTCGTTGGCCCCTGAGGGCCCACATATAAAAAACGTACAAATGAGTAAATTAATTAAAATTTTTATATTATTTATCCGCAAACTTTAGTAAAAATCACAAGAACGAATGTAAAAGCCATTGACTTAGAATTATATGGACGTCGCGTCCGCGCTAAAAAGTGTCCGAACTTATAGGGCGTTAAAATCGTATACAGAGCGTCATTCACGCTTTAGTCTTCGTTTGTTCGACTGACAGCGAAGCAAACAAAATTAGACAGTACTGCGATGACATTACAATTTAAATTCAACGTTTTAGCTTTTTCGTATTCCTTTACATGTCACTACGTTTAAATAGGTTGACTTGGGACATTTTTTTCGTGGTTTTTGCATTAGACCCGTCGTCTATTTATTTGTAAGTCAATGGTAAAAGCTAAAGAAAACCACAATTACGAGCCAATTCCGTAGATTTCATATTTATTTCTGGTCCCTCAGTTCACACACTATAGAACTGGGAATTAATTAAAATATACTAAAATATAAGCAATATAGAAATATTCGTCCTATTGAGGTTTAGTCAAAATCAAGTTTACTATATATTCTATATAATAAATTCAATTGGCCCTACAAATGAATAAATTTTACTTTTAACTGTAATTGTATGAGGTACGTCGTCGCTTAGAAAATGTTCGTCAGTACTGTTCTGTTATATATCTCTTTGGTAAAGGGTTGTTATGGAGTTGTCATCGTTCTTCCTAATATCAAAGACATCATAAAAGCAGACTAACCCTTATATTGCATCGAAAATTAAATAAGCAAGCTAAATTTATTGAAACAAAACCACAGTCAAAGATGAATATTTTTAATAAAGACTCCATATTTGCAGATCAGCCCTCATATATAGAAAACTGGAAGGGACAAGTTACACTTAGCAAAGAAAAACGAGGAGCAAAGATTAAATTTTTGAGAAGTGGAAACCTTTGCAATTTTGTTTACATTGATTCTCAATATGTCAATTTAAAAAACACATGTGCATTCGATTCAGTAATGTATTTCCTATGTACAGGCTATAATAACAACATCAATATTAAAAATGTAGTAACTATGAAGAAGAAGAATTAATTCCACAATATTTACACCGACTCTCTGATACCGATACTAAAGGCAGCGAAATTTATACGTTACGACATTGACTTACAAGTTACGAGCCAAAAAATTAAAAGACAGACGGTGGTCTGCGCTAGAAAATCACACCACTTTTTTTGCGAATGCAATGCCACAAAAATTTTCGAACGGTTCCCTCTACAACATTTCAAATGTGCAGTTTTTTACAAAACTATATACAAACTTGTTTTGTTCTTCAAATCGCATTACACGGAATATTATGTCTTTGTCTTTAAATTTTGATTTTATAAAGATTTTAGGGATTAGTTGCCCGAAAGAAGCTATTTTCTTGGACGAAGATACAAGAAAATGTTCACATTGTGAAGGTCAGGCCATAAGTAACTACGAAATAAAAAAAGTAATTGAAAAAACAAATATACGCGATTTAAATCCGGAAAAATAGTTTCATTTCCTATGTGTAACAATCGCGAAAACCTAAGAACTCGAAAAGTAATTTCATTTGATTTGAACGGTACTGACGAACATTTTCTAAGCGACGTACCTCATAGAAATGAATAAATTTAAGTTTTAACTATTAAAAGTAAAATTTATACATTTGTAAGGGCAATTGAATTTATTCCCCCCTTATTTAATGATGGTATTGACCATTACAAATGCCACTCTTTAATTAATAAAAAATTTGTATGTTATAAAGACAATTCTTGTAAAATTGCTGAAAGTACTAAAAAAAGCATGTTTTTACATGTAATAACTTAGACTCTCGTGGATACTTAAAAATAACCTTTGTAAACCTTCATATTTCAGTTGGTTTTGACTTGTAAAATATTGAAGTTAGAAGTATTATATTATTATCTTTTCATTTAATAGGGAATTTCATAATTTTAATTATTTACTAATAAATAAGCAAAATATACAAGTCAACAGAGACTTGTTCAGCTTTTTAAACTTTCATATTTCAATTGATTCTGGTTTAAAAATAATATTTATGCTCGAAGTATTTATATGTCATTATAATTTTATTTCATTGGGAATTTTGTAATTTCAATTATTTTTCAATAAATAAGCAAAATATACAAGTCTACAGGGACTTGTTATTATGTGGATACCCTACTAGATACACGGTTAAGAAAAATGTATTGTTATTTATTTAATATTTATGTATTAAAACAAATATATGTAAGTATATAGTAAAGCTTTTTTTACTAAACCTCAATAGAACGAATGTTTCGATATTGCTTATATTTTAGAATATTTTAATTAATTCACATTTCTATAGTCTGTGAACTGAGGGAACAAATAAATATGAAATTTACGAAATTGGCTCGTCATTGTGGTTTTTTTTAGCTTTTACAATCTTCCTTGTGATTTTTACTAAAGTTTGCGGATAAATAATAAAAAAATTCATTAATTTACTCCTTTACTAAATTTCTGTTAACAAAATATAAACTAAATACTTACCCAGAAGTGGAAGCTTTGCTGTGAGAACTGAGTGACCACACCTTAGGTGGTATAGCTGTTTAATATATGCTTTACAAATTCCAGGACGCGTTTTACAAAATGCTTTACAACTTGTAAGTACTAAATATTCCTGTTATCACAATTGGCAAAAATCATGTGGGCCCTCAGTCCACACACACAAGCAATTCTCTATACTTATGATCGTTGAGTACAAGATGGGTACAAGTCATTCACTTACAAAACAAGTGTATACCTATAATATAAATATAAAAAAAAATAATGCCAGGTTTTTCTGCACGCTTTATGCGTAGGATTCTTAGCTACAAATAATCTTTTTGGGTTTTATAATATTTTGTTTCAAAATCTGACCATAGCGCATTTTGACATGTCCCATGCGTTACATTCTGAGTTTTGTGATGAATTGACACGCTAGATTTATTTTAGATTTAAGTTTTTAGCATAGGATTATTTATAATGTTATTGCGATGTTTATGATTATCTCCACAAATGAAGAAAATTTCAGTGGTAAAAAATTGTTTTCAGGGCCCTCAGGGTTCTAAATACAAGTGGCGTCACAGATAGGCGGATTGCTAGCTTATTTTAAAATTGTATAGGTGAATATTGCACTTGTTATTAAATTTCAACTAGAGTTGGAAGTATATTGGAAGGTTCTTTCAGCCAGTACATAGTAGATATATGTATTTATATAAATTTGCCGTATGAAGCACCTATCGGCTAGAAATTGAGTGTAGTTATTATATTGTTTATTGCAATGCTTATTTCGTTAATTTCCAGGTAGATTTACCCAAACAAAATGTGTCGGACAGTACTGAGCCTATTTCAGGCATTAATATGCATGCTCCAACTAGCAATAAGAATCATTATGACAATCGGCCTAATGACAGAAAGTCTGATCAGATTGGTACTTCAGAGCATTTACAACTTTTTGTCGTTTCTGTTTCAATTAATATCACTTCTACCAATTTGCTGCGTATTCTTAGTTACATCGAAAATAAAATGTGCTCTGTTCTCCGGTGGTGGCGGCTGTCCGGCTGGTGCCAGGGGAGGATCTTGCGACTGCATTTTGTCTGTTGCGGCTATACTGATTTTGCTTTTGATATTTCGAGCCACAGGCGTTTTAGATAAAATTTTCCATAGATTAGGTTATGACAAAAGTTTTGTGGTAAAGCACCCCACGGGCACAGTCTCGGAGTGTTCTAGGAATATGAATGACACTGTGTACCAACTGTACGATTACGATAATAGCGATGTTGCAAGTGACGTTATGGGCGATGTATTGAGGTTAGGAGAGACGCTTGACATAGAAATGGCGGAGCAGGATTTGAAGACTGAAGAGCAGCCTACAACTCTTTGGTCATCTACAACTTTATGCCTTTCTACAACGATCATGATGATCCCAACCATTGAAGTCACAGAATCTGTAGATGGAATGATTTCAAAAGTGACGACGATTGCTCCGCCAATCACACCGACACAAACAATACAAATTCTAAAGAATGGGTTAACTCAGGTTGAGTATCTTGAGTATAATAGCACTACTCAGCAAGACCATCCAATTATTCTTAGTCCGAAGGCTAAGGACTCTGAAGATACACATAGCAATTGGACGACAGTTATTTACTACCTGGTAGCTTGAAACATTTTAAGAATCGCTTTACAAGTAATACCTACCTAGATTTTGAAGTTTCTTTAAAAAAAATGTAATAGCGTTAAAATAAATTGTTACATGTGGTTATTGTTTTTGCTTCCTTATAAATAAGCGTAAAATACTTACGGATTGAGATAGTAGGATTGAGGTAGGTAAAAATGCAATCAATTCAGTGTCGTATTTGTACTGAAATATAAATATTTAGATTGTTATATTACCACGGTCCGTAGGAAGCTAGCATGACATGACAGCAGAATCATAATATTATTGCTATTTTATTTCTTATGATATCAAGTTATGGAACGTACAAGTTGTGTGCTTGGTGGTAATCTACACTCCTGTCTATAACAGTTGCAGTGCCATTCAGTTTCAAATCACAAAGATCTGAGCACCTGACACTGCACCTATCACCCTGAGACATAAGTGGACATAGTGGAACCCTATGTGCCTGTAATGTCACCAACACCCTTACCTTTCATAATTGGAACGCAGTATATAATGCTCACATTACTGCTTGGCGGCAGAAATAGGCAAGGTGGTAGTACCATTATACGAACTCTTTCACAAGGAGCTCTACTGCTACTAAGACAAGTCTATAGAATATTTTTTTACAAATTATAATAAAATATAACATAGAGTGATATATCATAGAACAATATAAACGTTCAAAATTGTTGGTAAACCTTTTTGCTGACACACCTTCTATGTATGTCTGTGATTATTTCGAATTTTGATTTAAGCTTTTTGAAGTGTTCCTTGTCACGACGACTTAAGAAAATATACATTGTTTTTCATCATCACGGCAACTTGACTTGTTTTTATTTTTGTCGAGATTTCCTGGGATAAAAGACTTCTGTCTTTACATTGGTTATGGGCTTGTATTGGGCAATGTTCTCGCAATAGTTCGACAAGTTCAGTTTACGTGTTTTTTATTAGGACTTTAGTTTTGTGTGATATTATAAATTTTAATTTTTTCGGAAATATAATTTTACGAAAATGACGCAAAAGATTTCTTCTTCGAATACCATTTTATTGGCTATAGAAAAACTGGAAGGTGTTTCTAATTATGGTACGTGGAAGTTTTAAATGAAATTATTATTGATAGATCATGGACTATGGGATTTAGCAATTGGTTCCGAAGAAGCGACCGCTGATTCTTCAAAAGATCAGAAAGCATACCCAAAAATTTACTTGAATATACAACCCATTTGCTATCCACATGTAAGAACTGCAAAGACGGCTGCAGATGCGTGGAGAAACCTAAAGTAAGCCTATGAAAATTCTGGCATAAGTCGGAAACTTCTCTTAAAAAGAAAACTTGAGCAAATTAAATACGAAAACTACAATTCTATGGATCACTATTTAGGAAATATTATTTCCATTACACAAGAACTAGCTGACATTGGCTGCAACGACGATGACGAAGAATTAGCCGAATTGATGCTAATTGGGCCATGAAAGCCATTCGAACTCGAATCGAAACTGGATTCAGATTTTGTTAAGTGCCAGCTAACTCAAAGTGAAGAGAAATTCTTCAAATTCAAATTGGGAACACAATGAAAAAATTTTATTGACAGAAAACAAATTTGTTCCAATCTGTCACAACTGTGTTGGTAAATCTTTTTGCTGACACACCTTCTATGTATGTCTGTGATTATTTCGAATTTTGAATTTTTATTTCGAATCAGGCGCGCGTCTATCAAGACCTATTTCAAGCCCCTGAGGAAGATTTCTCACTTCCTGAGACCCGTGAAATGTAACATCCCCCTACAGGATGCAGAAGTTTACAAGCTTGACTGTGAGTGCGGTCTCTCTTATATTGGATAAACAAAACGAAGTATTTGTACCCGCGTCTAAGAACATATAGCTGATGTCAAACACCGTCGCATAAACAAGTCTGCAGTCTGCGAGCATGTCACGGATAAACCTACACATTCAATGAAGTTTGACAAACCCCTTCCAAAAGAAGTCCGTTATCTACCCAGGATGCTGCGAGAGGCCACTGAAATTAAAAAACATCCTAATTTCAACAGGGAAGATGGTTTCATGGATGAAAGTGAATGGTAAGAAGGATGGAAGTGATCATACTATCAGTTTGGGATCCAGTATTTCCTCTAATGAAAAATCTCAAATAGACATAAGATTTTAGTACTAATTAATATGTTTTAATTTATTCTAATTTCTATTATTAATTAATAATAAATTGAACTTAATAAAAATTCATTCAATAAAATAATTTGTAAAACTTAATGTAGCGTAAATTGGAATGTTTTCTTTGTAAAATAAAAAATAAAAAAATTATTTAATAACTATTGTAACTTAAGTGAAAAAAATAGGGTGTTTTGCATCAATATTAGACATAACTGGTTGATGACTGTACCGCCTCAGTCAACCGTGACCATGGGAACTGTAAGGGGTCCGAAACGTCGGTTTGTTTGAAAAAACAAATATACGCGACTTAAATCCGGAATAACAGTTTCATTTCCTATGTATAACAATCGCGAAAACCTAAGAACTCGATATTTCGAATTTTGATTTAAGCTTTTTGAAGTGTTCCTTGTCACAACGACTTAAGAAAATATACATTGCTTTTCTTCATCACGGCAACTTGAGTTGTTTTTATTTTTGTCGAGATTTCCTGGGATAAAATACTTCTGTCTTTACAAAAATGAATACAAAACAAAGTAAGTAGTATAACTTAAAAAATATAAATAAACAAAATGGTGTCGAAGTACAACGACGTCAAATAAAACTCCAAAGAAGGATGGCGAAAGCTGACCCAATTTATTGAATTATAAAACCAACAAAGCGCCGTTCATGGACTTTGCTAATATAATTTTTAGTTTTAGTTTATTCCTAGTTATCAATATATTTTTTGGAATTCGGGAATAAAGAAATTGAAAATAATATATTTTAGAATAAATGCAAAAACACAACGCAATTGATTCAGTTCGATCATAGATTATGGAACGTTCTTGTCTTAGAGGATGGAAAAAAAATTCTTGTAAGTAAAGTGTTTACCTACCTAAAGTATTGGTTATTTTAGAGTTCACACATAAAACATTCAAGCTAATAAATTAAACAATAATGATATAAAGTAAAAAAATGTGACAAAAAGTTTAGACAATTTTTAAATGAGATTTAAGAAAATTAGCAATGGAACGTTTTGACAAGAGGACCCTTGCCGTCGTAGAGCCCTCTCTTAGAGGATGGAAAATAAAATATAACGTCTGTTTTAAATAAGTCAACGTAACATGTCCTTTGGTTTCCATAGTCTAAGAGCCCTCTACGCTTGCCATCTTAGAGGATGGAAAAAAAATAAACTTGCCATTGGCGATTGACATTGGTCAACGTCACATTGAGATAAAGTGTGACCATTTGTAGCAAATTTGTATAATTTGGGCAGATTTAATTTTTATTCATTTTCATTGCGGCAGCACATGTTAACGCTTATTAAATGTGGCAAATGTGGTAGATTTGGAAATATTCAGCAAGTTCTTACTATTTTTGGGAACAAACTGAAAACTTGTTGTTTTCTGCTACTACGAACAAGCATATGAAGCGACAATACAGGACAATATTATAAACATAACCTATATCAACTTTATAACCCCAGCTTCTACAGGCTGTACTCAATTAGGTTTTTTGATGCTATGATAATGAATCACAAGTATTGACAAATGTATTTAATGCACGTCATCAAAAACACTGGGTCACAAAATTACGGGATGTCGCCATCCTTCTTTCTTCGAAAGGAATCCATCTATACAATTTTAAGTTGTGTTTATAATGTTTCGCTATTTGTGACAGTTTTCAGGATTCTAGGTAGGTGTTATTAGAATCAAGGACTTATTTATTACCCTCGGATTTCTCGTTGTAAGTGCGGTACCAGTGGCTAACGGATTTTAATTTTCCCATGTTACGCATGCTCGAGTGTGCCCACGCATTCCGCGGAACACTTTGGCTCGTATCTAGTTCGTACGTTACACAATAGACTGTACAATATCGTTACAAATATTCGTTTTTATTCCTTTCCGCTGCAATATAAATTGAGCCTAAGGCTTAACTCACCCTGGCGCAGAGTCGAAGCATCGCGTCGCGTCGCGTCCTGTTTTTCAGCTACACCGCCTGGCGACGCGCGACGACACTCGCATTAGTGCGCCGGGATCAGAGTGTGGTTCAGAAACTGCTCGAATGCTACCAAGCTTCGACTCGATTACATATATGCAAAACACACAAGTTTGTGCCTTAATAATGGGAAAAGAGAGATGAATATGCTATATTCGAAAAACATGAGGCGTCGCGACACTTCGACAGTTTCATATCCAGTCTGTGCCACACGAAGACGCAAAGTGAGTTGCTGCTGACTCACGCGCGTAATTACATAATTAAATACAACCGGACTTGTTTGTGCGAGTGGAAGGAAGGCGAGAGAAACATTTGCGGTAGTAGTAGTACCTTACGCATCTGGATGTTCGGATAAACTCTTATATAGCATATGAAACTGCCCACACTTTAATCTTTTAATCTTGCCTGAATATACCCTGATTCTTTTGCTAACATTATGTTCTAGTCTGGTATTTCATAAATGCTTATTATGTTTGGTACTAATACTATTTACGGCCCCATGATAAGAGCCATGGCAAGGATAATTTATTTAGCACACAATTTTATTCCATAAATTGCGAATATTGAAACCAATGTCTTTTGTTTGGGATTTGTATGTATAACGATTCCTTCGGTTTAATGTTATAAGACATGATTACGAATTAACAATGACATTCTCCATTTTATTCTCCAGCTTTTATCAAGGTTGACAAAATCGACTGCAGCAAAGCTGCAAACCCAGGTGGCCAGTGGTTGTTATTTTACTTTGAAATTCTAGAAAGTACATTTCATACTGTGACATGTACTACTTATTTCAGGAAATGGTGCTGATGAACGGTTTGGACTAAATTTGAATACTACAATGTGAGGACGGAATTACCAATATTTAAATAAATGAAGAAAATTCCAGTTGTAAGAAATTGTT